AGTAGTAGTAGTAGTAGTAGTAGTAGTAGTAGTAGTAGTAGTAGTAGTAGTAGTAGTAGTAGTAGTAGTAGTAGTAGTAGTAGTAGTAGTAGTAGTAGTAGTAGTAGTAGTAGTAGTAGTAGTAGTAGTAGTAGTAGTAGTAGTAGTAGTAGTAGTAGTAGTAGTAGTAGTAGTAGTAGTAGTAGTAGTAGTAGTAGTAGTAGTAGTAGTAGTAGTAGTAGTAGTAGTAGTAGTAGTAGTAGTAGTAGTAGTAGTAGTAGTAGTAGTAGTAGTAGTAGTAGTAGTAGTAGTAGTAGTAGTAGTAGTAGTAGTAGTAGTAGTAGTAGTAGTAGTAGTAGTAGTAGTAGTAGTAGTAGTAGTAGTTATAGTAGTCTTATCACACATTGCACATTATTCACAAGTTCCCTGTGCCAAATGTTACGGAGATAACTTTATTTGATGGATTTATATATTCATAGAACAATTCTTGGATACTTTTTATTAATCCAACTAATAAAATAATTCATACCTTAATAATCAATAACATCAAAATATACTGTTGCTTGATGGAGTTATGTGAGACAATTTCTCGTCAGTAGTATTGTATTTTAACCAATGAATTTTGACTCGACGACTAGTAGTTGTCCTGCCTCAACATTCTAGTTCCCATTCTATATGATTCTGGTGAGTGAGAGCCGAAAAGTAGTCATAAACTACGAAGAAATAACTATCCATTGCCAATGAATCTTGTTGTTAATGAAAAATAACGTTAACTTATACAAAAGTCTTCGTAAAATGTTTCTGTTTTAACAATGATCGTTTTAATCTCTAGCTCCAGATTTAAGTAGTAACATTATAAGTAATAGTATACATTTGGAAGACCACATTCAGTTTACTATCATATTTAGCCAATGTATCTGATCAGATAGTTGAATTACTTCGATTTATGGTATTTCTACATAAAATATGACGGTGTAATAAAAGTTTCATTATTAATTAAATATTACTCACAAGTAGTTAAAACCGTTGCCAGAACGATTTACCAGATGCAAACAGTAAATGTATAACTAGAGTATTGTAAACGATAATGAATTATTCAGTTTACGTCAAAATGTTCACCTGAAGGATAAGATTTCAGGATCTGCCGTAGAAAAGATAACCCAATCTATTTGAAATTACAATGATAATGATAAATGGGAATTGAATAGTTAGTTTCTCTGAAATGCATTCCGGTTTTCTTAAACTTACTTTTACTCATCCATTATTACAGATCACCTTATTCCATTTAAATGATCAATACTCATTACTGTGGTAATAAAACAACTATCACTAATGTGTTTTATATTTAGACAAAGTTATCAAGAAAGAAAGGGGAAATAGTTGTGCATTTTCTTCAATCGAGTTGTACATACAAAAAAGTCCTATTCCATTATAATGTGGATGATATTTTGTAAACCTACCATCCCTTGTGTAGGTTGAAAAACACCTGATTATCTTGCAAGATATTACCATCAATGTAACCTCACAGAAGAATAAGTATAAATTGTTTGTAACCTAATATTTATATCTACTTAATAAAAAATATATATAACCATATATTTGTGATATCCCAATGAGTATAGAGTTGAAGAGATTGTTGAGTTTAGATTGATATCATGAATAGATCAATGTTAGACCACCAGGGAAAACCTGAAATCACTGGACGACCGTTTCTTCCTAGTGTGGGATTCCTCAGCAGTACACATCCACGATCCCTCACGTGAGTCTCGAACCCAGGATCTCCGGTCTAGCGCGTGAACTCTTAAATTAAGCTTTCAACGCTTCCAATAAATCGCTTCTTCAAAGAATAAATAAAATACTAAATTACGGAAAGTCAAAAATTTAGTTTTTTTTACTCATTAGGATAGTACGAATACATCATCAGTTATTTTATGAACAATCTAACCCATGCCGAATCCACTTTTTGAAATTTACATGTCACATCTCGATATTAATGCTTATAAACCAACTGTGTCCGGGTTCTCAAACTACTGTAGGTTGAATAGATGTGTATTTCTTTTAGTTATTTTCTTCTGAAACTATAGATTAACGAGAAATTTAGGAATGTAGTTCTCACATTATTCCCTTCCGGAAATGGTGATCAGAACACTAGTGGGAAACAATCGAATGTAGTTGACAGGAAATTACAGAACCTGTTAATAAAATCTAACAATCATAAAGCAAATGCTTAATTTGCAAAATGTTCATCAATTGTCTCAAAATGACTCAGACTTCATTGTTCTTGCATTTTCATACAAATTGCATTCTGTTTCCATTCTTTACTGTTTGATCCTCTTGTCTCCCTGCTGCCTGATATTCTGTTCACGACTAACGTCATATACTACTTATGTAGACATAAGTAGCACACACCACATGACTAGTAAACATGCTAAGTTATCGATAGGATTCCTATTAATGGTGATGAAATGTAATTGAATTATTTTATGGAATTTAGATTAAGTGGCCAAAGATCAATCTGTTTAACACAAGATAATATATCATAAGTTTGAGACGATATAAAGCTATGCACTGATATAGTGTTTAACATTAACATTAGGGTAAAACAACTTTTTTAATTTATTCCTAACATTACTAACTCTTTCTTTCTCCACAAAACTATATAGGTCATTCAATTTAATCTGTAATGGTTTAGAATTATCTCATTGTTGATATTTTGACTGAGATTTTATCAGCCTTGATGAGCATATATGCATCCTTTGAAGATTGCCTTGTTATGTTCATCATGACACAAGTTTATGTAGAATAAATGGAATTCATTGAAAAGATCATTTTCTTATTTATTGATTAATAGATAATCAACCTGTAGTGTCGGTTACTATGTTAAGTCCATATGCCTTATTATAGCTTTCGGATAGGCCAATCTATTCATTCTACTTGAGTCATATTTTGACCTTGTTAATTATTCACTTATCAATTTTGACTGTTCTTACATGAGCGTATATATGTGTACATTTCTCATCTCATTACTCATCACATGTCTGTAATTTATTTTTGTGTGACTATAAATATTGATTAACGATTGGTCAAATGAGAGTTGACTTACCCTCCATCTCCACTGCGCATCGTTTCGCTTCTCTCTATTCCATTCGCTTCATATACAAAATGTATCTATTCAAAAGTCCATTCTCGTTATTTGACTTATTTGATTCCGTTGTTGACTAACGCGATTAAAGTCGACGATTATATACGAGGATAGGCGACATATATAACAATCATTCATACGATCAAATTAGAGTCAGAACTCAGGCCACTCAAGTAGAGAGCCCGTCGACAACACTGTCCAATCTAAATGATGACAAAATAAAAAGCCCCACTGAAAACTCATAATAAACACAAATCTTAATGTGAATAGTTGATGGTTTATTATATACTAGAAAATTGCATTTTGAGTGAACGAAGAAAAGGTAATAAGCACTTCTGAATGATCAGAGAAAAAGAAAAAACATATTTAAATTCGCTGATACTCAATTAAGTAACCAAAAACAAACTTTTGAGGACGTTAGATCCCCAGAACTCACTTCAAAAAGGACCTAATGTTGTAATTTCAATTAGGAGAATTGAGTTTCTTTGTTTTTGCGCCAGAAGTGCTGTTTTCACCTTCAAGTCGTATTTCCCACTTGGGAGAATCTTAAACGCTATTAGTTCGTTGTGTCTTGTAGTATGCTATTTTATTACGCTTCACAAAGACGGTTTTGTGCTGTATATATACGTTTTGATTTGTGTTTGTTGTTATCGCTCGTGCTTCTGACTTCGACTTTTCTCTCTAGTTAGCGGGGCTGGGACCCAATAGAATATCTAGTTTATTGATCTTTGGTCACAAGTCTTTTTTCCGTTCGTAGTCTAAGTGAATTCGTAAGCGCTTCAAACCTAGCACAAACAATCTAATATTAACACAAAAACCAAATCAGGGGTTTCTTTCCAATCACCTTTGATAATCTAACCTCAATCATAGTGCTTAACTACATTTAATGATTTGGACTTGTAATCACACTTTAATTGAATTAATAGAACCCATTCAGGATCTAATGAAAACATCGAGTAATACTCAGTAATTAAATAGTTCATTTGTAGCTTGATTTTCAGTGTTACTACAGTTATGTACAATATTTTTTTGTTTATTGATAAGTCTTGCGGATTGAACGCTATATTCGTCTTCTAAGCTATTCTGCAGCTCCCCAAGCTAGAACTATACAGCGACCGGAACAACGAGAGAAGACGCAAAGTATGCGAGAAGTAGTTTACTCCAAGGTTCATTTTAACACAGAAAATATAGGGTTTTTATAATATTTTTAAATGTCCTTGTGTTGCTCGAAGATTCTGGAATGCTACTAAGAATAGTAGCTGTATAGCAGCCAACCAATCACAGACTCTGAATGTGACGTTTCGCTTCCTTGATATTTTTTGGTTAAGACTTTAAGTGGATGCTGACTGGCTGAAACTCTTCTTAGTTATTCCTGATGCTTACTTGTGTTGTGCAAGCAATTTTCTGGATCATCCCAACATTTATATTTTACACTGATTATAAAAACTTTGGTAAAAATTGAACAAGAAGGTTGAAGTTTTGAAATGGAAACGAAAAAAAGAAAAAGTGTAATGCAAGAAATAATCATCTTTGGAGAAATACGATTATCTTTGTTCAAATGAATCTGTAATATAAAGAGAAAATACAAACAACTCAAGAAACATTTCAATATCTACCATTTGAATTATCACAACAATATAAACAATTAAATGAAAGTATTGGACTTAAATCCACTACCAATTCAAATGATATTCATTCATTGAAACAATTATGTCAGGAAATTTGGCGATTATTTCAAGAAACATCAATAAATAATAATAATGATCTTAAGGAAATAGACAATCATTCTACAACAAATTATAATGAACAACAATTAAATTATCAAAATAAATTCAAATTATTCTTGACAAAATCATATGAACAATATTGCCGCCATACAATGGATCATTTAAAACAAACAGAGAATTCAATTCTCAATACCGATCATCATCATCATAATAATAATAGCAGCACCGATGATATGGATTCTAAAAATAAACCCCTAAAAAGAGAAGAAAAACAAGAACAAAATAGTTGTCAAGATGGAGATTCAAAACTATTAAATTTAAATCATGGTCATTTTAAATCTTTTACAAAAATTGATAAAATAAAAACTTATCAATTATGGTTTAATTCATTAAATTGTTTAAATACACAACAAAAATTATATCATTTATATAAAACGAATTGTTTCATCAAAAATTATTGTCAAAATGTGGAACATTTAAAAATGAATGAAAATGATTCATTGAAAAGTAACAATATTGTAAATAATAATACAATCACTGCTAATACTACTCATAATAGTAATGATAGTAGTAATGATAGTGCGACTAATAATAATAATCATAATCATACTGTTAATAGTGATAATATGAGTGATACAAGTAATATTCATAATTTATCGATACCTTCAAATTCTGCCTTAGATGCTTTAATTCATATGACCACGTCTACAATGCAACAGTTAAAACATGATGGTGATTTCTCAGGTTATCATTTAAATTAAATTTCCTTCTTTTTTCATTATAAATAATCATTGAATTATAATATTATATTCAAATTATAGATATATCTTATTGAAGAATATAAAATAGTACGAATTCTAGATGACGTAATGTATCCTGTCAACTATATCCGACCGACTAACATGGAAATATATTCCATGAAATGTTAAGTCAGATAGACTAGAGATAACTTTTATTTATTTATTTTTATTTTAACACATAGATATTGGTACAAGGAGGCACCAAATACATATGCGCCACACAAATCTCATTCAATAAGTGTGGGGGCTGTGATACTGCCCGGGTGCCCAAACCGAAACTGGTGGTTATCTTAGGGGGCCACACCCCGAGCCTTCGACCTGAAGGTCTGATCCACAAGACAGTGGAGCATCGTAAGGAGATGTAGTCCCATGGAAGCCGCTGACCAACAGTTGGTTCACACGGCATTTGTTCCTTCAGGATACTAGAGCCCATGTGCATCATTGGTTTGGTTTGGAATCCGGTTAAAGCACCGGACATTCGCTTTTCGTCCTCTCAATTTCGTAAACAACACCCCCGCCACGAGAAGGCGGTGAGTAGGACTTCCCTATCAGAGGCTGTATATGCGTGGCCGTGTGAGAGCATTTCGAGAGGGAGAGCGGACTCTCACCACTCTCGGCCATATCAGGGCATTTGGGGGCACTAGAGATAACACTATATCTTGATCAATACAATTCGATCAGTGCTAAAGGATTAGACAAACATAATATTAACATGATGATTTATTTTTGTAAGATTCAAATGAGCACACATTTGAGTTTATGATGTTAAACTACATGTTCAGGATAAACAAAAGCAAATAATCGAATTAAATTAACACAAATTTAAATAGTAAAAAGTAACACTAAGTTCAATCATCTGAAGAATTGACCTATTTTTAAAGTTAAATACATCAGTCGATCTAAACTAGACCACTATTGAAAACATGGAAGCACTGGACGACCATTTCATCCTAGTAAAGACTTCCTCATCAGATAGACATTAACATCGTTGGGTGTCAGCTCAGTGATCTTGAGGTTAAGTGTTCGCGCGTGAGACCGAGGATCCTGGGTTTGAGTCCAATGTGAGAAATCATGGATGAGCATTGCTGAATAGTCCCATACTAAAACGAAACGATCATTCAGTGCTTTTAGGTTTTCAATATTGGTCTAGCTTAGATCAACTCATGAATTCATTTATTAAAATTACTACAATCTCCTTAGATCTCCATTTTGATAATTGGCTTATATTAAGTCATAAAACTGCAGAATTTCACATTTCTACTTATTGGAATCTGATAAGTATATCATTTATTTTATTATTAAATTTCCACTTAATACTTACTTTATTTGGAACTATCAAATCCAACTTTAATATTGATATCGACAAACTATTCAGTATAAAATCACTTGTATAATGATGCATTTCTTACCATTACAGTAGTATGTACTTATCGCAAATTATATGTATAAGAGTTGTATGTATGAATGATAGGCAAAGTTCTATTATCTAGTATGATACTACTAATTAAGTGAACTTTGATTTTTAATGATTACTTAGGTTGGTGACTAAAATTACTTCTTTTTGGCAACATTCGGGTAATTAAATTAAATATACAATTGATTATGACGTACTGTATATGAATATTTAGTTGGTACATTTGTCTGCCGAATAATTTGTCATTAAAATTTCAATGTCTGATGAATAATAAGTAGATATGATGTGAGTATTAAGTCTATGATCTATCATCAATAGTGATGTAAATATGATCTGTATAGAAAATATCGAGTTCTAATGAAGATAGCTACATTCATGCCAATTTGATATAATATGGTAATTAGAGATCTTCGTAAATTCTCATTTATCTTTTATTTAATTATGAGTAATGATTGTTAAAGAGACAGTGATAAACATTTCTAATCGTACACACATAGTTATATACAGCCCCCAAATGACCTGGTACAGCTGAAGGTGGGGACATTCAACCCTGCCTTCTGAAATGTTAACGTATATACTGTCACTGTCGGGGAAGTCCTACTCACTGCCTTTTCCTGGTGAGAGTTTTGTTTACGAAATTGAGGGGACGAAAAGTGAATATTCGGCGCCCTAACAGAGTTGATGGATATGGAGGATCCACCTGAGGGACTTTGATGGGCGATCTATGCTTCTGCACGAGAAGTAACAGACCTAGATAACTGCATGCATGCGTGATGGGACTGTAGTCAAATCCAGGACATTTAGGTGCCGCAGTGAGATGTCATAATTATCAGAGTTTAACCACATTGGGATTACGACAGTTACATATAAACAGTAGTGAAAAATAGGTGTACAGTTCTGTGAATTTATTCAAATTAGAAATGAAAACCATTGTATACTAAATTTTATAAGTTAATCGAAACCTGGAAAATCTTTGGTTCGACCTTCAGTGCGGTTGCTGGCATCCATTACGAAAGGATCTAATACTAAAATAAAACATCTTTCCTGTGCTTCCTGCTTTCTAACGGTTGTTTAACTTAGGTCAGCCTACCATTTAAATCCTAAAAGTTATTTTGTGTGGTTTAATGTTTTATTTATGTACTGTCATTACTTAAATGGGTGATATATAATCCTGTTTAGTATATGTTAAAAGGGCTTATAGGCAGTTTCCAGTTCACTAATCAAATCTCTAATCAATGCATAAACAGAACAGTATTCTATTTTAGAATAACATGTATTTCATACACTCCTAATGATTAAATTGAATTTTCAGTATGTCATTAAATCTAGATAATGTGTATAATGTATTGAATATCCTCAACTAACAGGAAATTTCTCTATCTATCTATCTATCTATCTATCTATCTATCTATCTATCTATCTATCTATCTATCTATCTATCTATCTATCTATCTATCTATCTATCTATCTATCTATCTATCTATCTATCTATCTATCTATCTATCTATCTATCTATCTATCTATCTATCTATCTATCTATCTATCTATCTATCTATCTATCTATCTATCTATCTATCTATCTATCTATCTATCTATCTATCTATCTATCTATCTATCTATCTATCTATCTATCTATCTATCTATCTATCTATCTATCTATCTATCTATCTATCTATCTATCTATCTATCTATCTATCTATCTATCTATCTATCTATCTATCTATCTATCTATCTATCTATCTATCTATCTATCTATCTATCTATCTATCTATCTATCTATCTATCTATCTATCTATCTATCTATCTATCTATCTATCTATCTATCTATCTATCTATCTATCTATCTATCTATCTATCTATCTATCTATCTATCTATCTATCTATCTATCTATCTATCTATCTATCTATCTATCTATCTATCTATCTATCTATCTATCTATCTATCTATCTATCTATCTATCTATCTATCTATCTATCTATCTATCTATCTATCTATCTATCTATCTATCTATCTATCTATCTATCTATCTATCTATCTATCTATCTATCTATCTATCTATCTATCTATCTATCTATCTATCTATCTATCTATCTATCTATCTATCTATCTATCTATCTATCTATCTATCTATCTATCTATCTATCTATCTATCTATCTATCTATCTATCTATCTATCTATCTATCTATCTATCTATCTATCTATCTATCTATCTATCTATCTATCTATCTATCTATCTATCTATCTATCTATCTATCTACACATGTGTATGTATGCAATACAATCATACACATGAATGAATATTACGCTAATCAAGAGTTTAGATGATTTGTTTGCTTTTTTTCATTTCATGAATGTAATTTATTTGAATTGAATTATAACACAACCTCATAAGATATTTTGAAGGGAAGCACTTTGACTGTTTTAGTGCTTTGTCTCATTAGTCTTGATTACTAAACATGTTCAATAATTTATATTTCATTACTGTATAGAATGAGTTACAAATTGTTTTAGTTATCATTATACAACTATATTTTATTATCAAACAGTAATATTGACAAAATAATAACTGAAATTAATCAGAAATGACTTGGTAACATTTTTCTAAATATAGAACTACTTAGTAGTCATCTGACTGCACAAATTAGTACCTGTCAGAGCTCAATAGCTAAATGGATAACGAGATGTTGAAGTAAACGGTGCTAGGTTCTCGTCTCAGAGTAAATATCAACTCCAGGATGCAGGTATATCCAGTTGACGAGTCCCAAATAGGATAACACGCATGTCCTGGATTTCATTGTTAGCCATTATCCATTTCGCTACTCAGTAGTACTTATACATAATTCTATCATTCATTGGAACATAGAACACTATTGAGTATTTAAAACAATTAGTCCCTTTGATAAATTTCGATAATGATATTAGAAGACGAAGATTATCAGAACTATGTGATATATTTGCGTAATACATTTCGAACAATCTAGTCACATATATACTTCTTAAGAGCATTTATATAAAAAAAATAAAAGGTCAACTAGACAGGAAATGGGGTAAGAGGTGATAAGGATAAAGATAAGAGAATAATATTGTCCGACCGGCCATTTTTTTTTTTAAAAAAAAACCCCACCCCAATAAAAAAATTTTCCACCCCCAAATTACAATATTTTTCATCCCGTGTTTCGTCCAATGAAATGGTTAGTTTCAAAAATTAGATTTAATTGGTTAGTTATGTCTTGAAAATTGTTATAAATTATCAGTACTTGTCGACGAAGCACAATCTCAATCGTCATTATGGAGCACAGTAACGTGCCGAGTACAAGCGCTGGTGTTTCTCACGTAACGGAAATGGAGGAAGTCTTTTTGACTACCTTGTTTCTGGTTGCGTTTCCATCGGTTGAAGCGTTAAAGACCACTATCACAAATTTTGAAAGATCGATTTACAGTCATTATGTAGTGAGAGATTCCCATATTGGCAGAGATCAAAAATCCTACATTAAATTTGTGTGTTGGCGAAATGGGCGTATAAGATCTAGCGGTTCGTCACAACG